CAATTTGCTCTTTATTTTAGAATTTGTTTTCTCATATTAAAAAGAAACATGTGATACTTAACCTCAATGTCTGATTTTGCTCATTTAACATTTTTTGGTGTACATCTGTTTTTGTACAGATAACTTGACTGTATTCTTAATCATTTATTTGATACAGCGTCTCATTACACAGCTCAGAACTCGTAGCCATCCTTCTGTTTTCAGCCTCACAAGTGCTGGGATTAGAGGTGTGTGCCACCGCCCACCGCAGTCTCAGTTGTTGGCTAAGCTATCTGGCCGGCCCCACCAATGAATACTTTTAACAGAATTTGTAACCTGCAGATAGGTTTATATACGTAACATGCCAGAACTAGAGAGTGACATGAAAGCCTCTTTATGGTCGCATATGAAAGCATGATAAAATATAAATTTAGCGCTATTTCTTTAAGTAAAATACTTCAAAGTTATTTACTATAATTTAAAATGCATAGAACATTTTCTTATGAATACAATCATTGTACCAGGAGGGCTGGGGAGATAGCTCAGCAGTCTAGGTACTGGCCTGGCAAGTGCAAGGACCCTGTCTCGATCCCCGGCACCTGGCACCACATGCCATTCTGGCCTTGGAATCCCGGGTGCTGTTCTGGACCCCAAACCGGGAGTGGTGGCACATACCTGTAATCCCAGCACTGTGGAGGCTGAGACAGGAGAATCACTGCTAGTCTAAGCTGTAGAGTGAGACCCTGTATGAAATAAGTAAATACAGATGAAAATAAAATCTACCCATACACTTAAGTGTAATAAAAAAAACATTGTAAACACTATCTGAAGTGATCTCCAGGTTAAAAAATATTCCCTATTGCAAGTCCCAGGACCCATTATATTTGAATTCTTCAAATCCTCTGTGAAGATGAAATAGCCATAGGCAGTCTTACTGTGGGGAGATGAACTCTCATTACTCTTTTAATTAGCATTTCAGTGGCCAGCAGTGCTCATCGTTGTTTCATGCATTTACTGGGCCTTTGTACTCCTTCCTGTCATTCCCTGCAGAAGCCCATTACTTGACTGAATATTTTAATCAGGGAGCCCTAAGTTTTGATATACTTATGTATGTTCCTTATTCATCTGCTGTCTAAGAACCTCCTGCCCATGTTGCTCTCATTTTTTCTTTTATACAGGGATCAAACTCAGGATCTCGTGGTTGCCAGGCCGGAGATTTTGCTGCAGAGCTGTCTCCCTGGCCCTCCTCCTCCCATTCTTAAGGTTGGCACTTCACTCTATAGATTGTTTCCTTTGTTATGCAGATGTATTTAAATTCGACATGATCTCAGTTTTGGATTCATGATATTCCTTAACGTACACTTGATCTTCTGTTCATTAAGACCTTCCCTGTGCTGTGTCTTCCACAGTGTTACCTATTTTGGTTTCCAAAGCAGGATGCTTCTCTTTTAATATTTTAGTAGTTGATACTTTTCTATTTTCGTTTAGTACATGGAGCGAGATATGGGTCCAGGTTCAATCTTTGCCATGTGTAGCCAGTGTCACCAGCACTATTTCTGAAACAGATTGTCTTTCCTCCGGGGAATGTATTTGACCCCTTGTCAAGGATCACATCGTTGGTGGTCTTTATGTTTGCTTGTTGTTGCTTCTGTACATTCTATCCTGGTCTATTGATCCACAAAAATGTTTTTTTGTCACTACGATGCTACTTCCAGCACTATGACTTTGTAATTTAACTTGAAGCCTGGGGTTTTGATGCCTCTTGGCATACCACTGTTGCCCAGGATTGCTTTTCCTCTTTTACGTCTCATAAATTCCATATGATTTATAAGATTGTCTTTTCTAGTTCCATGAAGCATGTTATTGATATTTTCACTGGAATTTTGTTAAATCTGGACAAAAGTTTGGAAGTGTAATGGTTTTGCATATGTTGGTTCAGGAACAGGGGATATCATTCCATTTTCTGATAGCCTCTTCAGTCTCCTCTTTCGTATTACTGTAGTTTTCATTGTAGAGGTCTCTCACTTTATTGGTTAGGTCAATGCCTAAGAATTTAATGTTTCTTGTGGACACTGTGGAAGTTATAGTTTTCCCCACTTCTTTCTGAGTAAGTCTGTTCCTTTTTTCAGGAATGGTACTGATTTTTGTGCACTGACTTTGTAACCTGCTATACTACCTAATTTGATGATGAATGATAGGATTCCTCTGGTGGAGTTAGCCACCTCTGCAATGTAGAGGATATTGATATTTGCAAATTATAATAATTTAATTCAATTCCCATTCATATGCCTTCAGTTTCCTTCTGTTGCCTGATAGCTCTAGTTAATGTGTTGGGAATGATGTTGAACAAGTGCGATGACAGCAGACATCTTTGTCTTGTTCTGACTGTACAGAGAAAATTTTCTGCTTCTCTCTCTCTCTCTCTCTCTCTCTCTCTCTCTCTCTCTCTCTCTCAAAAACTGTTGTAATCTTTTACTCTGGATGGGGTCTTGCTATGCAGCTCAGATTTGTAGTAATCCTTCTATCTAAGCCTCCCCAGAGCTGGAATCACAGGCATGTGCCACCACACCCAGTTTCTGTGGCCACCACAGCATCCGTGGGGTTCCAGAGCTGGCAGAGCATGCTGTACCAGGGATTGAACCCGGGTCCATGTGCTTGCCGGGCAGGCAAGAGCTTAAGCCTCCAAACTATCTCCTCAGCCTTCTCTTTTGTTTAACATGAATTTGGCCATTTGTTTTTCATACATAGTTTTGACAGATTGAGTTGATGTTCTTCTACACATACTTTAGTTTGGTTGTTTCTCATGAGAGATGATGCATTTTTATTAAATATTCTGTGTATATTGAGATATTTTTATGCTTCCTTCTGCTCATGCAGGGTATTACATGTCTGATTTGTGCACACTGAACCATGCTTGTGTCCTTTGAGTGAATTTTACTTATATTCAGTTCATTCTGCTCACCAGTGTCTTATTGAAGTGTTTTGCATCTATGTTCATTAAAGAGATTGACTCATAACTATCTTTTTTGATTGGATCCTGTTTTACTTTCAGGATCAGGTTAGTGCTTGATTCCAAGGAGTAATTTTTGGAGTACTGCTTCTCTTTCAATTGAAGAGTTTGTGGAGCACTGTCACTAGACCTTCTAAAATATTCTTACAGAATGCAATTCTCAAAAAGTTCCTTGGTTTTTCATATTGAAGTTTTTTTTTTAAATTTAAATTATTCCACACAATAAGTAAGTAAGTAAATAAATAAATAAATAAATAAATAAATTTAAATTATTAGATAATATTAAATGATACTGGATCATGCGGAATTTTTCTATTTTAGCAGGTACTGCTGCTGCCCACCATTTCAACAGTATAGTTAATGTCCTTGATTTCTGATTCAAATTCTCTCACAGACTGTAATTGTTTGATAAACCATTCATGTTTTACATAGTTTGTTTAGCGGACATGGCTTCTTATTAATGTCTTCCTCAAGTTCCTTGACTACTTTGGATACTGCTTTCATTATCTGTT